ATTTATATCCATCACATGATTTTTAATTTACAAATTTGTTAGTAATCACTGGCTTTAGACAACCTTTCAAAATGAGAATTTAGGTGTTATATTGTATAAAAGTAGTTTCGTTACTCTGAGAAATATAAATTTTTTTTTTTCGAAATGTTAAGCTTTATTGAATATTTCGAACAAAAATAAATATATTTGCCTATTTCTAAAATAATAAATGAAATGAAATGAAATGACCACTATGCTAAAATATTTCTAAAATAATCAATGAAAATGAAATGACCACTATGTTAAAATATTTGGAACCGCACCGCAGTTAGATGAAATATCGAAATCATGTAATTTTAACATATATCAGTCTTAGGAATCATTCTAACCTTTAAATCTCTACAAATAGTAATAGTTGAAGTTATGACGTTAAGAGGAGCTTTCATATCTACAAGTTCAACGTCAAAGTTTCTAAAAAGTGAAGCTAATAATATTTTCATTTCAATCATTGCAAGATTTTTACCCAAACACATCCTTATACCTCCACCAAACATTGAAAAAGCAAACTTATGTTGTTTTTCAATTTCTTTAGGATCATAAAATCTATCTGGGTTGAATTTTTCAGGTTCATTCCAATAAAGAGGATTATTATTAATTCCACGAACATACATAATGAATAAAATATTTGCAGGCCATTTATATCCAGCTATTTCATCAGCTTTGTTACTATATCTTGAAACCATGCTAACAGTGGGTCTTATTCTTGACGTTTCTTTAATAATTGCTTCACAATATCTTAATTTATTTAGGTCATCCATGGTTATATGTCTAGTCATATCGTCTTTGAAAACTGTTTTGAGTTCTTGCATTAATTTCTTTTTAATTTCCGGGTTATGTGAAAGGTAATATAATACAAAGCAAAATGTATTTGAGGTCTGTAAAATAATAATACATATAATTAATAATTATTATTATTACTATTAATAAAATTAATGAATTGTATGAAGAGGTATAGGACAAATTACTTACAGTGTCTGTACCAGCCGCAAATGCATCAAACATAATACCGCGTATTTCATCATCAGTCATCGGTCTTAATAATGAAGGATCAACATTCCTTTGAGGAGCAAATTCATATTGAGTGTTAGCAACAACCATTGAAGTTAACAAATCATTCTTTAATTGACTCATGTCAAAGTTGCTGCTATTAGCAAGTTTTTCAACTTCTTTTCTTCTTTTTCTAATTCTTGCTACTAATCTTTTATATAAATAGTCACAGGTATTCTTCATTTTATTAACACGACCTCGGATCAAAGGAAATTCTTTTAAAAGTTTTGGTATAAAAATCATCTGATTATCGTCAAAGAAATTGCTTATACATTCAACAAAATCTTCTGAATCCTCCATCTCTTGGGTCATTTTTTCATTATTTAATATTTGATAATAATGTTTAATCGCGAGTGTTCTTTCACTAGTTGTAACTACGGAAATAAAATCATTTGTATATCTACGCATCCAAGCAGCGACGTCAACGACTACAAAATTATC